AAAAGTTCCTTTGGATTTTTCCCCAAGATGGTATGGAAAAACCCAAAGGAACTTTTTAGTCAACCCCGTATTTCTTCCTCTCTACTCTAACCTTCCCATTGCAGTCAAACAGGACTTAATATCCCTCAACTTAAAAACATATTAGTCTTAGCCAATTTCCTGCTGCACCATTTTCCTGCCCCTCTGCAGAGCAAATATTCCTGGGAGAGTTGTCTACACACTCACACTTCTCTTCCTCGCCTCCCTCTCACCTCCATCCACTCCAGTCAGGCCTTTCTCTTGCCATTCCCTTGTCATAGCTCTTATGAGGACACCAGTGACTGACATCTTGGCTAGATTAGTGGCCAGTTCACGTCCCCATTTCATCTGGTCTCCCAGTGGTACTGAACGTCTTTGACTACTCGGTGGTAGATTGAATTATTGGTCCTAATTCCTGTCACTTCTCCCTGTGTTCTTACCCTATGTGACTTCGCTGTCCCTTTTTGCACTAGAGGTAGAATATATGTTCTTGCCCCTTGACTTTTGAACATAGTTATATGACTCATTTTGGCTAACAGAATGAAAGAGGAAGTGACATGGTACAATTCTAAGCCTAGGCCTCAGGAGTCATTTCCACCTGCCTGTCTGTGCCAGTGTCACCACCAGGGGATAACTTGCCATAGCTGACCTGCCCGTACAAGGATGATGAGGGACATGTACCCAGAGCACACTTAGACCCAGCCAAGGTCAGCCTCACCTGGCTGACCAGCTGACTCCAGATGTGCGCATAAAATAACACGTGGCTCAGTGGTAAAGAATCCACCTGCCAGGGCAGGAGACAGGGGTTCGATCCATGGTCTGGGAAGGTCCTGGGAAAAGCCCATGAGGCACTGAAGACCCAGCACAGCCAGAATAGATAAATAAAATTATTAAAAATATTTACTGTTATATGCCATAGAGATTTTTGTGATTGTTTGTTACCTAGCAACAACTGACTGATATATCCCTCTTCTTGAAGTACTTCCTTTGCTCAGCTTCCTTAGAATCACCATCTTCTGGTTTTCTTCCAACTTCACAGGTCATTTGTCTCAGTCTCGCTTGCTTGCTCTTCTACTACCAGATCGCTAAATGTTGCAGTGTCTTCAGTCTCATTCCTCTCACTTCCAGCTTTACATTGTCTCTAAACAGAATGATCCAAACCCACAGTTTTGAATACTATCCATATGCTAGATGTCAAATTTAAACCTGAAGGAGAGATGCTCCTGAATTCCAGACTCAAATCTGTCTACACATATCCCCCTGACACCTGATAGGTATTGGCATGGCCAAAACAGAACTGCTGATCATCCCCTCCCCGCAACATGGACATCCTGTCCATCCTGTTTTCCTAAAAATGAAAGTGCCATCCTTGTGATAGCTCCAGAGACCTCACCATCTCCATAGGCACAACCCTGCTGTTACCTACTCTTGCCAGGACATCTGCAACCACATCTTTACTGTCTTCTCTGCTTCTAGTCCCTCTGGCTGCTTCTACCAAGCAGCCAGAGCCATCTTTCTAAAGAGTAAGTGGAATCTTTTCTCCTGGCTTAAAATCCTCCAAAGGTTTCCCACTGCAACCAAAATAAAATCCACACTCCTTATTTTGACCCATGAGATCATGATGGTCTAGCCTTTGCCTATATTTCAAGAGCCCTGGAAATCTCCATGTTCACATTGCTCCAGTGACAATGGCCTTCAAAGGTATCTCCTGAACTTAAAGGAGTGCATTCCTGCCTCAGGGCTTTTGCATCACTATCCCTTCTTGGTGGAGCTCTCTTCCAGCTCAGAAGGTCTTAAAGAGGCCTTTCCTGGCTAAATAAAGCAGCACTAACTAACCCCACCCCCATCCCTACTCTATTCCATTGATTAGCTACTTATCAACATGTGAAATTGTCTGGCTTTATTCTCTTCCATTAAGGCAAAAAATCTTTAAGGGCAGGCATCTGTCTTGGTCTCTGATAGATTTCCAGGGCCAGAACATGCCTTGCACATGGTGGTGGGGGGTGGGGCTCTCCGTAAATGTATATTGACTGACTGCAGCCAGAACTGAATGGAGAAGGGAGTGACCAGCTAGATGGCCAGGAAGGCAACTGCAGGGCCAGAGATAGGGAGGCTGGCTGCTGCTGCTAAGTTGCTTCAGTCGTGTCTGACTCTGTGCGACCCCATAGATGGCAGCCCACCAGGCTCCCCAGTCCCTGGGATTCTCCAGGCAAGAACACTGGAATGGGTTGCCATTTCCTTCTCCAATGCATGAAAGTGAAAAGTGAAAGTGAAGTCGCTCAGTCATGTCCGACTCTTAGCGACCCCTTGGACTGCAGCCTACCAGGCTCCTCTGTCCATGGGATTTTCTAGGTAAGAGTACTGAAGTGGGTCGCCATTGCCTTCTCCGAGGGAGGCTGGAGGAGCCAAGATATACCAAGGGGCAGTGAGAGGCCAGGCTGGCTACAGGGGAGGAAGCAGGTGGGGAGTGGGAGGAGAAAAGTTAGCATGGTGAGAGGCCTTGAATGCCTCCCTCCAAGTCCTTTGAGTTAGTGGGTGCTGCTGATGATTATGACTCAAGGACATGATAGGTTCAAAGCAATGATTTCAAATGATTAATATGCTTGAAGGGTTTACGTGTTTGAGTGTCCTTAACTAAGCACTGTCTCAAGGGAGGACAGTTTTAGAAGCCAAAACATCTAGAAGAATCTGGGAGCCCAGGGGAGTGGGAGATCTGTCCCCTTGGATTGAGATGCAAGAAAAACCCATTATCCAACCTTTCAGGGACCAAAATTGAGTTTCTAGTTTTGGAAGATCTCCCTGAGTAATTAAAGGTTTGCTGAGCTACACAGCAGGCAGTCAACCACATGTGTTAATGAGCTGGCGCCCCGGGCCTTGGGCTTCCTTACACCTTCGCCGAAAACGCACACACATACGACCAAATCGCTTGTTTTCACCCTGTGATTGAACACAGCTTCACCAGACCCTCCACCCCACGGATACACCCTAGATCCAGCCCCTTGCCTTCCCAGCCCCCTCCACCCAATTCCATTGTCAGAGCGGAACAAAAGGCCCAAGGCATCCTGGGTTAAAGGATTTTAACTCTGCCAGCCCCAGGAGGCTCCAACAAGAAGCAGTTTCCTGCAAGAGAAAAGTGACTGAGAAATCTCCCCAGGGGACAGTTTTTTTTTTTTTTTCTGGTCTGAAAAACAGAATCTAGCTGTCAATCAGACACCCTCCCCGCTCCCCTACAGCCCCGGCCCCCACCTCAGGATTAGGAGCTTTCTCTCCTAGACACCTCCCCTCAGCCAAACGCATCTTCAAGTCTCTTGCCTAAGACTTGTGTTTGGGGCGGTCAGGCTCCCACCCAAACCGGCGGGGACATCCCCGCCACCCCCATCGGAGATTGTCCGGACTCTCCCTCTGCGCCCCTCCTCGTCTTCCTACCGCTGCTTCCCCGCCTTCACCCGTTGGGGGTACATTTGCCCCGCGCGCCCGGGTCGTCCCCACCCCCGTTTCCCCCCGCCCATCCCTATCCCCTCCTGCGAGCCTCCGTCCCCGGGGCGCCGCGGGGCGGGAAGCCCGGGCCAGCCGCTTGCTCCGGACCCAGGCTGGCTCCTCCTCTGTCCCGCGCGGCACCCTCTTCGGCCACCAGCTTCTGAACTTGGCCGGAAACGAACCCGTCCTCTGGAGCGGAAAGCTGCGGGCTGGTGGGTTGCTGGCGAGAGCATTTCCAGGGCCGAGGTTCGGTGGGTTTGTGTCCACGTGCCTCTGCCCTAACCGGCGAGCAGCGTCCGGAGAGACCCTGCTGGCTGCTCTGCCCTGGTCCCAGAGGCTTCTGGAACAAAACTGCATTTCGTATCAAACCCCTTTTGCTCATCCTGGAACTAAAGTATGCATTTGTTGTTGTTGTTGTTGTTGAGGTTTTCACGTAGAAGAGATACCGGGTAAATTGGAAACATGTTTGGAAAAGGAGTGAGCAATCAATGCTGGCATTTAAACAACACAAAAATGCCCTCGCCAGGCCACACGCCCAGGCGGCCGCGGCGCTCCCAGCTACAGAGCAGCGCCCTCTGGCGGCCGCGCGGTTGGGGGGATCGGCCGCCCCCACCCCCAGGCTCCGGAGGCGGGCGGGGGAGAGTGGCTTCCCCAAGTCTGAGAGACACTGGGGCAACTTGGGAGGAAGGGAATTCAAGGTGGGCGTCGCCAGGGTGCTGGGAAATGCTTTTTGTGGTTTCAGGCTCGGGCCCAGGCCCAGAGCCCCGGGAAGGGTCCAACTTAAAAGAAAAACTCTTGTCCCATTCTCAAAGGCTGCTTGAAATTGTATGGATACAGCACCATCCCTTACCTGAAAGCTTTGATTCTTCATAAAATCCTCGTTTGAGAAGGGTGATTTTTAAAACGTGGGCAAGTGGCAGGCTATGAAAAAAATAAAAATAAAAAAAATCACCAATATCACCAAAAAGCGTGATTACACCATAATATGTAGATTTTACATGCTGGTGACATTTACTAAATATCATTAAATCCTTTTTCCCCTGTTTTAATACCAGGGCCATCCCTTGGTAGTCTGAACTGCAGTGTTATTTTAACCCCCCCCCCCCCCCCAGTGGCCAGTCCCTCTATTTCAATTTGCCCTAAGCTTTCTTGTTCCTTATATGAATATATCCTAAATGTTTCTCCCCTTTTCCTGCTTTTCCTATTCTTATAGCTGCTGCTTGTGGTTAGGCTCACACAGTTTCGGAGCTACTTTCATGGGAACAGCCAGAGCTTGGCATTGGTGGTGCCCAGAATCCCAGGTACACACACACACACACACACACACACACACACACACACACACACACACACGCTCACACGCACGCGCGCGCACACAGGAGCAAACTGCTGTTTCAGCTTCCTGTCTCAGTGGAGTGTCTCTCTGGAGAGTTTGGCCCCTCCCCCACCTGGTGGAAGCCAGAAGAAGTGAGGGTTCTGAGTTTCCGAGGAGCCAGGCAGGTGCTCCCCTGCCTCCCTCCCTTTCCTCTGAATCTCTTTTCCCTGCCTGAGGGGTTTCCACTTACCCATACTGTCTGGTGGGAATTCCTCCAACTTCATACCTTCCTTCCCTTTGGGGTATTTTCTGCTGTATCTATTGCCACACAAGCCACCCAGTGGCTGAAAACAAGAAACGTGTACTTATTAGCTCCTGCCTCTGTGGGTGAGCGGGGCAGTGTCCAGCCCGGCTCTGCTGGGCCCAGGCCTGTGTCTGTGGTGAGCTGGCAGGTCGCTGGATGGCGTAGGACAGACTCATCCGCACCTCAGGTGGTTAGCAGGCTGTCAGCTGGGGTGAAAGGATGACAAGGTGACGGGCCAAGTACCTCTCACCCAGCAGGGGAGCCTATCCCAGGCTTCTGGCCTTTGCGGCGAGGTTCCACGAATGGGAAGAGCAGAAGCCGTGAGTCTTCTCGAGGCCTGGGCTGGGAACCAGCCGACTCCTGTGGCCACATTCTCTTGGTCAAAGTGAGTCAGGAGGCTGGGCCTAACTCAAGAAGTGGGAAACGGACTTCAGCTCTTGGTGGAGGGAGTGCAAAGTATTGTCGTCATTTTTGCACACACTGGCCCTCTTCTTCCCTGGGCACACTACCGGTAAGTAAACACGTCAAGATACTAAATCCCTTCTCCGCCCCCAGGACATTCAACAGAGCCCAGCTGAAGCACATAAGGCAGCCGTCGACGTGCCTGGGTTCAGATCTTGGCTCCACATTTATCAGAGGCTGACCCGAGAAAGTTGCCTTACCTCGGTTTCCTAATCCGTAAAAGTGGGAGTTGTTGTAAATATTAAATAAGTTAATCCACGTTAAGTACTTATACGGTGTCTGGCACACGGTAAGTGTCCAATAAATATCAGTTATCATGCCATGAGGGGACGGCTGGCTGCCCACCAGGACTGCTGAGGCCCCCAGCGCCGTCTTCCACAGCTGCCCCAAAGCCCCTCCCAATATGGCTGACACCAGGGGGGCCCCCAGCTGCCAGCTCTGCTGACGACACCTGGTGTTTTCAGGGCTCCACTGAGGTGCCAGGGAAACGGCCCTGTCCGTTTTTACCAGCTCCTTCAGTGAAGCCTGTCTCTCTCGAGCTGTTACAAAAAGGGCTCTAAAGTCAGACAGAGCTGCGGTTTGCTTCCAGCGCCTCTTCCTGAGGCTTTTAGCAAGCTGATTCATCTCTCTGAGTTTCAGTTTCTTCGTCTGTAAAATGGAGACAACAGTACTGCCTCCTACAGAGCATGCGGGGCATAATATGAAGAACAGAAGTGCCCGTGCTCACAAAGATGCTGGCACTCCAGGACACAGAAGCATGTTGTCTTTGAAACTGCCCCTCCGGTAGGCGCTGAGAAGTTGCCATGGGTGAATCCTTCTTCCCAGAAATATCCTTAGTCACTCCTCGCACCCTCCCCGACTCAGTGCATGGAGATGGGCCAGGATCCTGGGGAGCAGGCCAAGCTCTCCCTAAAGCTGCTGGTTTAGCATCGGGTCCCTCCTCTCCACTTCCTGAGGCCTGACCCATGTTCCACTTTCAGTTTAGTATCTCTAACACCTAGCAGACAACTCGGCATGGTCTGTTGAAAGAAAGGGGCTTCCCTGATGGCTCAGATGGTAAAGAATCTGCCTGCAAAGCATAAGACCTGGGTTCAATCCCTGGGTCGGGAAGATCCCCTGGAGCAGGGAATGGCTACCCACTCCAGTATTCTTTCCTAGAGAATTCCATGGACAGAGGAGCCTGGCAGGCTACAGTCCATGGGGTCACAAAGAAAAGAAAGAAAGATGACATGGAGGAGGATGTAGGAGAGGAAAGACTTTTCCCTCTACTCTCCTAGGTTCAACAGCTGGGTCTATGAGATCAATTTACAACAGGCAGATTAACAACAGGAAGTAAAAGTCGCTTAATCCTGTCAACTTTTCGCGACCCCAAGGACTGTAGCCTGCCAGGCTCCTCTGTGTATGAAATTCTCCAGGCCAGAATATTGGAGTGGGCAGGCATTCCCTTCTCCAGGGGGATCATCCCAAGCCAGGGATTGAACCCAGGTCTCCCGCATTGCAGACCAATTCTTGCAATGACTTGCAAGGAAGCCCAACAAGATGAACGGTATACACATTTCTTGACTTTTAACATAACATGGACAGGGACATCACAGGAAAAAAGAAAAATGAGTACCTAGAAAGGAGATGAGATTTGAGTTTATCTACCTTCTTCATAGGGAAGGGGCAATTTAGGAGAAAGGTGGATGGGCCTTTGAAGAGCAGATGGGAGATGTGATAGTTTCTGACAGCGTTTGTCTCAGTGTGGGATGGATTTCTGGTATCCTCTACTGTGACCATCTTCCCTGGTTGGTGAAACTCCCCAGGAAGGGATTTATGACCGTTAAGTTCCTTCTGGAGGGTCTGTCATAGGCAGATAAAGGGGAGTTTGGAGAAAGCTTCTCCCTGCCTTTGCTGCTGTTTAAGTGCCTTCAGCTCAACATAATCAAAATAACAAAGTGGCATCTTTGAATTTCACTTCGAGGACTTTGACAGTTTTTCTTTTCCTTGGATGAAACCACCATTTTCAGATGCCTTCCAAGCCAAGTCAACCCACTAGGGCAGAAGGGACGATGTTCCCAAAAAGTGGGATTGAGGTGGCGCTCCTCAATGTGGCTGCAATCCCTGGGGAAGCCCAGGCCCACCCAGGAATGTGGGTGCAATTAGTATGGGACCCACCTTGGTGTCAAGAATTGGGAGTTAACCCTGATTTGTGCAGGTTCATCATTTCCATCAAGTCTCTCCCAAGACTGAGTCTTCCCAAGCTCTGGGTAAATAGCCCCAGATCCTGCTGATGGTTCCCACAGAGTTCAGACCACAGCAGAAAATGAATGAGGCTGCCCAGAGGTTAAAGAGAATACCATAAACCCAATTCCATTTCTAAATGTGTGTTTGTGTGTGCCTAGACACAATTGTGGGGGGAGGGGGGGTCACTCATTGCAACCTGATGCTTTAAGTGATTGATGAAATGAGTTAATTAATATTCACTGATGTGCTCCGGGCAGAGTCAATGTGAAAGCCAGGGACCAAGGATGAGAGGATGAGGATGAAGATGAGATTGGCTGCAGATCAGACCCTGGGCCATGGACGGTCCATGGACAGTCCAAGGGAGCCAGGGTCCAAGAGTCCTGTTAGGAAATCAGTGAGCAAGGCAGGCAGGCAGGCAGCCATTCTCACCAGTGGCCTGGAGAAGGCCGTGAGCAGAGAGAGAGCAACAGCTCCTTCTGTGGTCATGGGACTAAAATATCCTCTACGGAGGTGGAAAACGTGGGAGTGGGGCCCCTGGTATGAAGAAAGCTGAGTTCACAAATCTGTCCCCCCATTTTTCCTGCCGGTTGCACCTTTAGCCTGGCTCTTTGGAAAGATGGATGTGTATACATATAGACAGGCGCAGAGTAGAAGGGTGGTTGTCCAGTGTGGTGAAGGGAGCCGGTGGTGCTTGGAGCCCGCGGGGAGTTTGAGACTATGATCTTCTTGGGATGCACCATTCTGGGACTGGGGTGGTGGAGACTGTCACCTTCAAATCAAATGATTTATAAACTCTGGATTATAAATTTTCATTCCCAAGAAGGGATCTGATTGTTCAAAGGATAAGGGAAGTAAGGCAAAGGTGGTGCTGATTCTGAGTTGGGCCCTTAAATCTCTTTCTGACGCTCAGACAGTAATGCACAGGTGGCAAAAGCCCTCGAGACAAAGGGTGGTCTGGGGCCACTTAAGCAGTGTGAACTGAGTTGCTTGTTCAGAACTTGTTCCCGGGCCCATCCCAGGTCTACCTAATCTCCAGTTGCTGGACTCTCTAGGGATTAAGCTGGGAAATGCCCTTGTGGTCCACTGGCTAAGATCCTGCCGCACTCCCAATGCAGGGCGCCCAGGTTCAATCCTTGGTCAAGGAACTGGATCCCACAGCTGCAACTAAGATCCAGCAGAGCTAAAGTGAAGTTGCTCAGTTGTGTCCGACTCTTTGTGACCCCATTGACTGTAGGCTATGAGGCTCCTAAATAAATGAATAAATGCCCCAAGTGATCCCAAGGTGCCTAAGGACGGAGGGCCTTTGTAGGGTAAGTAGATGGCGATAGAGGAGGGCAGCAGCTCCCAAACCTGGCAGCTCAAGAGTGCACCTGGAGCTTTAAGAGCTAGCCTCCCCCCTGGATGATGTGAGGTGGGCCTGGGAATCAGTATTCCTTTGCCATTCCTCAGATTATTATGGTCATCACACTGGTTAGGTGTCCCTGGAGGGAATTAACTGAAAGGAGCTTTCCTCATCTGTTCCTTGATTCCAGAAGTCTTCCCACATAACTTCTTCATTGAGACAGGGGCATTCCACACTGACCCCAGGGCAGGCCTAGGTCATGGAGATGTTGGGGCCACTGTGGTGGTGTCCGCCCCCCCCCCCCAGCTTTATTGAGATATAAATGACAAATAACATTGTGGAAGTTTAAGGTGTTCAACATGCTGATTTGATACTTACATAGTACAAAACCGTTACCATCAGAGCATTAGTTAATATTTCCATCATATCTCATAATTAGCATTTCTTTTTTTGTGGTGAGAACATTTAGGATCTACTCTCTTAGCAACTTTCAAGTATACAATATGGTATTATTAACTATAATCTATACATAAGATTATATGCTATACATTAGAGTCCCCAGAACTTATTCATCTTATAACTGGAAGTTTGTCCCCTTGGATCAACATCACCCCATCTCCCCTACCTTCCAACCCCAGACCCTGGAAATTACCATTTTACCCTCTGTTTCTAGACATTTGGATTTTTTAGATTCCACATATTTAAGTGATAACATCTGATATTTGTCTTTCTCTGTCTAATGCCCTTAAGGTCAATCCATGTTGTTGCCAATGGCTGCATAGTATTACATTGTCTACATATGCCGCATTATTCATTTGCTGGTTGACAAACACATGGGCTATTTCCATATCTTGGCTGTTGTGAGCAAGGCCATAATGAACATGGGAATTTAGGCATTTCTTCAAGATCCTATTTTCATATTCTTCGGATATATACTCAGAAGTAGGATTGCTGGATCATATGGTAGTTTTATTTTTAATTTTTTGAGGAGCGTCCATACTGTCTTCCATAGTGGCTACACCAATCTGCATCTCATCCACAACGCACAAGGGTTTCCTTTTTTATTTAAATACTTACACAAAATATTCTAGATACTGAGTTTTAATTCTCATCTTCCTCCTCATCTTCATCTTGAGTAATCTGGAAGTAGCACAGATCGTAACTTTCTTTGCTGTTAGCAACTGTGTGTAGCAATCACTTAGATTCTTCTTCTTCTTCAAAAAAGATTATTCTTCTTCAAATATTTTTTGGTAAAGAATTCCATGGACAGAAGAGCCTGGTGGACTACATACAGTCCATGGGGTCGCAAAGAGTCAGACACAACTGATGTATTAACACTTTCACTTTCAAGATATTTCAAATACCTTTTGGAAAAAGGCACCTCATAAGTCACAGTGATCTTGCTTTTGCTTCTTTCGATTGATATGATCGCTGCCCAGATTGCCAGCTTTTCCATTCACTTTGATTCTCTCCTAAAGAAACTGCTCAAAATTGGCGGCATCTATGATTCCATCTTCTGCAGGAAGGGTACAGTCCAGAGTAAACTGCAGGACCTGCTTCCTATTTTTTGTGCCACCCCCCCGCCCCCACCCCCAACAAGCTTTTTTACAGGCACCATGATGGCAGGGAGGCAGAAGGGGAGGTGGGTGAACTAGGCAGGCGCAGAAACCCGCAGCCATCTCTTATCTTTTTGACTATAGAGATTCTAACAAGTGTGACGTGAGTGGGACCAAAAATATTTGAAATATTTTTGGATTGATAAGAACCCCCAAATGGGTTCAGAGCAGACAGTGAATAGCCAGCTGCAACAGAGTTCTGACTCTCACGTGACACACGATTGTCTACACCGACTAAGACTCTGCCAAGGTACCACAGGCCACATCTTTCCAGTGGGTGAACTTTAAGGCAACCTGGCTGTTAGCCATCAGCCTGCACCTAAGACAACGCTTCTTTTACAAAAATCCTCTCAATTCTTATCCAAAAATTACACTGTAGTTAATTTATATTTAATATCAAAATGGGAGGTCTGCAAGATGAAAATTTTTCACAGTAAGAAGTTATTTGCCCTTTTCACTCTCATTTTCTCATGAACATATGAAGCTATGTGCTTTGGGAAAACTCAGTTTGATAGTGAGTCCAGAAGCAGATAAGAGACACCATCTGTCTTTTATTACGCTAAACATTTTTAAAAACTGCAGGAATGTAAAATGGTGCCATACTTCTCACTTTTTTTTTTTTTTTTGAAAATACAGGTGTTTCCTAAAAATATATGTTAATGTAGTGGATTTATTATTGCAATTTAAAGTAAATACTTTAAAAATTTCAGTTTAATTTCTAATACGGTAAACAGAACACTCTTTGAGGTTCTCAGTAATGTTAAGAGCATAAACGGGTCCGGAGATTAAGAAGTTTGAGACCCAGTCTTACTTCTCGCTCAAATCGTAGACCGTCTTCCCCAAAGTTCTCAAGTGTACAAGCGGTTGGGTTCCACCGCAGTGAAGATCTGACATCTCATACAAGGGCCTCAAAGCTCCCCACTGCCTGAGCACCCCCACGCCTCGAGCCCCCTTCCAGGGTGGGACGAGGGAACTCACGTGCAGTCGGGGGAGTAAGGGAATGGAAACACAGTCACCGCCTTCACGGGACTTCTGCTTTTGTGGGAGATACAGACGGATAAGCAGCTGCCAGGGAGATACCGGCCACTGCTGTTCACCAGTAACACTCTGGGGGGAAAGCAGGTAGGTCCTGCGCCAGCATTCCCTCCAGCGGCTTTGCGTCTCCCAGCCCCAGATTCGATTCCGAGATCCCAGGACCGGCGCGCCCCCTGGTGGCCGTGCCTCGTCTGCTCAGCCTTTTCCCTCTGGAGCTGCAGGAGCGCACTTTGGGTAAAACCTCAAGTTTGGGGGTAGCCTCGTGGGGGCCCCATCATCGAGGTTCTGCCTGGGTCCTCCACGGCCTCTTGTCTGTCACTCTGAGCACGTTCACCTCCTCGGTGACTAATTCCAGGCCGATTCTGCCTCTGTGCTAGCCATTTATGGGTGCTAGGCATCTTATGGATCCGCCCTCAACAATGCCATTAGTAGAAGTCAGAATATCCCATGGTAGAAATAATGTGTGGTGCAGGTTGGATCCAAGTCCAAAGAGTCCGATGCCAAATTTCCACTTATTGATATGCCTAAGGGCAAATTACCTGGAGTCTAAAGCAGCTCTGGATATTGACAATTGAAGGATATTCTACATTGGGGTCAAGTTCTTTCAGGAGGGGGAAAATGAGTCTGGATCCTCTGAATCTCATTGGCTTAGGCTGGATTCCTTGCTCCTCTGGAGCTCATGGTTGTACTTTCTGCATTCTACAGTGAGCATCAAAACCTCCAAGACCTTCACCTTCTAGGACTTTTTTCCCAGGAACACAGGGGCTCTGCTATTGAAAACAGAACTTGAGTGGTCTACTGTAAAATTCTGAAACACCTCAAAGTGGGTACGCAGGTGAGCACTTTGACCCTGGTTTGCTCAATACAAAATAAAGCTCTAAAATCAAGGAAGGAAGCACCAAAGGTTAGTCAGTCAGTTGTGTCCACCTCTTTTTCGACCCCATGGACTGTAGCCTGCTATGCTCCTCTGTCCATGGGATTCTCCAGGCGAGAATACTGGAGTGGGTTGCTGTGCCCTCGTCCAGGGGATCTTCCCAACCCAGGGATCGAACCGAGGTCTCCTGCATTGCAGGTGGATTCTTAACTATCTGAGCCACCCAGAAAGACCATCTTTTCTTTTCATCGAACCCTAGAAATTCAGAATGAGAATATCCTCAAACTGAACAGTGCTGGGGGTTGGAGGGAGTTTCAGAGACAGCAGGGTATCCTTGGGGACCAGCCTAAGGGCTCCCCTACAGTTCTGACCCGGAGCCCATTAGCAGGAATCTACTGCCCCATTAGCAAACTCAACTGTCTTAACCTAGTGGTTTCCATGGTAACCATCAAAGAATGATCCCCTTTTCTTTTCTACAGATATTTCTCCCACCCCTCCGTGCAACATTCACTTTCAGCTATGACCTAGAACTGGATTCCATACAGATACTGTTTGCAAAGGTGTGGTTTCCTCTTTTCATTCCATGTTTTAAGAAAGTAAAAGCTGTTTATACAGAAATGCCCGTCAGGTACACGGGAGGTTTATTATTATTACTAATATTATTTGTGTACTCATTCATTTTAAATTAAAATTTTAAAAACTATTTTCCTGAAAAATTTTCAAACAAAAAAGAAACCTTCAAAATATTCTTCTTTCAATAGGTTTGAAGAAAATCTGGTCTTTGTGAAGAATAACAAGAGGTTATGAAATAAATAACAGTCTCTACAAAAGGAACACAGGTTGTAAGCCTCAATCCTTGTTAAGGGTGTGGTGAAGATGGCATAGCCTAAGATTTTAGCCTTAAAACTTAAGAAGAATATAAACAGAAAAAGAGACTCAGATGTATAGAACTGACTTGTGGACTCTGGGAGAAGGCGAGGGTGGGATGTTTCAAGAGAACAGCATTGAAACATGTATATTATCTAGGGTGAAACAGATCACCAGCGCAGGTTGGGTGCATGAGACAAGTGCTTGGGCCTGGTGCACTGGGAAGACCCAGAGGGATCGGGTGGAGAGGGAGGTGGGAGGGGGGACCGGGATGGGGAATACATGTAAATCCATGGCTAATTCATTTCAATGTATGACAAAAACTACTGTAATGATGTAAAGTAATTAGCCTCCAACTAATAAAAATAAATGGAAAAAAAAATAAAGTATATATTTGAAAAAAAAAAAAACTTAAGAACAATATAAACAAACGTTTAAAGTATGATAAAAAATATATAGAGACAGTTGGAGGAAATTTTTAAAAATCAACTAATCACAATGTCCTTCCACAATGCCTACCCATCAGCCTCCTGATCCTTCACAACCTTTCAAGCTTCCACAGAGAGAAACTCAGCCAGTGAGAACACCTGCTGTTCTTGTCCTAAATAAAGGTTGGGTAGACTATGGTCCTTGGGCCAGTTCTAGCCCAGGGCCTGTTTTTGTATGGCCAGTCAGCTAAGAACAGTTTTTACAATCTTAAAGGGCTATAAAACAAGCAAACACATCAAGAAGAGTATGTGACAGAAACTGGATGTCTACCCTCTGGCCATGTCTGATCTGTGAAGCATCTCTTCTCCTGTTGGCTGCTGGAACCCTGGTGAAAGGTGGCTTTTCTTCTATGCAGGCAGCAGTAACAAGAGGTACAGCTGAAGTTGCCATGCCGACAGGGAATTCAGTTCTTAAAATAGTCAACTGTGCTCAGGCATTTTCGGGGTGGGTAGGTTTGGAGGGAGGGGGTTAGGGAGAGATGATAAATGAATGAGTCAGACCCAACTGGTGACAGCTGTTCCGTCATCCCTCCCTGTAATACAGTGGGAGGGACTCTAAAAGGTCTGAAAGAGACATTTTCCATTCAAAGAGTAGGGTAGCTATGTCTCCTCTTGCTGTTTTCCTGCCTGACAGAAGGAAATTCCGCTCACCACCTTTGCTCCCTCCTGCCATCCTGTGGCCTCCTCCCTGCAGAAAACAGAAGTGGGAAACATGCCCATCTCACAAAGAGCCCGCACTGATCCAGAGGGATTGCGTGTGCTGGGAGTTAGCTGTGCAGAGGTGGGAGTAGCCTGCACTCACAGGGGCTGCCTCAGGGCTTCCTCCGTGGGAGGCCCCAGTCCCATCATCATCTTCGTCATCATAGTCATCATCATGGGACCAAAATGAAAGTGTATCACTAAACGTGATATCCAGATAGATAAACTAAACGTTTATCCAGATAGAACAATCAGCCAACAATTATTCTTTGAGAATCTCCTGTTACCCCTTTGTTGTGTTTCCAGTGCCTAGAAAGGTGAACTAAGTCTGTGTGTGTGTGTGTGTGTGTGTGTGGTTAAATATATGCAACATAAAATTGACCATTCTAACCAATTTGTAGCTTACACCTCAGTAGCATTAAATATATTTACTTTGTACAACTATCACCATCTTTTCATCTTCTCATATTCTGAAACTCCACACATAATGCATAATTCTGTACGCATCCCTACCTGCCCCCAGCCTCTGGCAACCACTTTTCTGTCTGTCTCTGTGAATTTGGCTATTCTAGGAATCTTATATAAATGGAATTGTATAGTATTTGTTCTTTGGTATTTGACTTATTTCACTTAGCGTATCTTTAAAGTTCATCCATGTGTCAGAATTGCATTTCTTTTAAAGGTTGACTAATATTCCATTGTGTGTATATATACATTTTGTGTATCCATTCATCCATCAATGGGCTTGGCTTGTTTCCACCTCTTGGCTACTGTGAATAATGTTGCTATGAATTTCAGTGTATGTACAGATAGCTGTTTTGAGTCCCTAATCTCAATTCTTTTGTTGACTAAATTCATTTTCAGAAAGAAAAAAATAAGCTGATTGGGATCCCACCCAGGATGCAAAAGATGTTACAGCAGTATTTTCGTTCCTTTTCCATCCCATCCATTTAGAATCCATCTCTTATGAGGCCAGCAGTCCCTGGTCCCCTGTTGTCCTCCATCTTCCAGGTTCCAGCCCTTTGCACTTACTGCTCACTACCCCAAGGATGGTGGAGAACTTTAAGGTTGATTGTTCTTTCATATTTTTATAGGTGAGCATCATTGAAGTAAAACTTCCTAGGTTTAATATCGTGTCTTTTAGCATCATTTCAATGTGTTTTTGTACTAAAGGACCCATTTCCCACCAGAAGCAGGATAGGCATACCACTAGAAATTTTTTTGGTTGGGAATGAGCACATGGCCTCAGTTGGCTCACTTGGCTGAAGAGAAGGAATTTTATTTCACAGCTGGGCAAGATGTTCTTTTTTTGTTGTTTTTTTTTTTCTGAGGGTGCATATTGAGAGGAAGCTGGATGTGGATAAAGCTGAGACCTAGGGAGAAGGCGGAGCTAAGAGTCTAGCAGAATATGGTACTAGAGTCTTGATTATGCAATGCCTGAAGCTTACTCTACTCCAGCTACCTGTTAAGAAGCTAATAAATTGCCTTGTGTTTCAAGTTCATTTTGGTAGGGTTTTCTGACCCTCAGGACCAAAAACATCCTGTTTCTTTGCCTCAAGAACAGTGGAAAGTCATTACAAGGTATAAATAGGCAGGGAGACTCCAGGGAGAGGGTGACAAGGCCTTGTCTGCATCCCATGATCACCCTGAACTCTGGCTGCAGGGTGGAAATGGGTTTGTGGGGAGCTGGGGTGGTTACAGTTATAGAGGTGCTCCTGGACTAGTTCTGGTGAGAGGTTATTGAGGAGATAGGGGGACAGATCTGGGAGATTTTAAAGAAGTTAGGTAAGTTTGGAGGAAGTAAGTTTTCTATATGAAATCACACTGACCGCCCCCCACCTCCACACACACACACACAGACACATGGATTCCAATGCCATTAACTATCCAAAGCCCCTGCTCCATTTCTACTGAGTCAGGGAAGCAGGGAAGAAGTTTTCATTTCTCATGGACATTTCTGCCATACGGGCTTCCACTTCTAGGAGCAGTTTTGCTGATTCGTCAAGTCATGGCTGGTGTGAACCTGTCCTTCACTGGTTTCTACAGCCCCCGTGTAGACAGTCCTGGTGAAGCAGGCTCACGCTCCAGTCTTCTGTCACTTTGCCTCATTGCTTTCCTTTTCCCCCTCCCAAACCTACTTGGTCCCCTCCCTCGTGGGTTCCTTGGGGAGCTCCAATTTCTCTTCCTTTATGGTGGTGAAAATTGAGGTTTCCCGTCTCCTTCCCTCAAACTCGCACATCTGGCTTCAGAGTTCAGAAGAACAAAGGGCCCCATCGTGCACAGTCAGCTGCTCACCTTACAAGGCAGGTGGGTTCTAAACAGCCAGCTTTCCCCTGTTGTCATCCCCAAGGTCTGGCTGCTTGTCTTCCACAACTGGGTTATGAATTCCTTGTGGGCAGACCGTATTGACCTAGCCTCTGTGATGTCCACTGCCCCTAGCTGTGCAGGCACGCGTGAAACTGGTCAAACTCTTCTTGTTCCGAAGCAGCCAAGCCACAGGCCATCACCAGATCAACCTAGGATCTTCAGGAGGGCAAGAGGTTAAATGAGACACCGGCTTATTGAGAGCTCCTGTGCTCAGGAAAACCCTGAAATGATTCCATGGAGCAAACACTTGTTGGGAATTTCCTCCATGCAGCATGTGGTATCACGTGGCGCTGGGCATACAAAGATGAAGTCATCTCCCTGCCCGCGAGGGACTCACCTTGGAGGGGAAGATATTGCTGACTGCCCTTTAGGAAGCCAAAGCCAGAGTTACTGGATATGGACCATAGCAGTGGTCCCCAAGTTTTTTGGCACCAGGGACCAGTTTCTTGGAAGAAAATTTTTCCACGGACCGGAGGTGGAGTTGGGGAATGGTTTCAAGATGACTCAAGTGCTGTATGCAGGTTAGGAAGCAACAGTTAGAATTGGACATGGAACAACAGATTGGTTCCAAATCGGGAAATGAGTACGTCAAGGCTGTATATTGTCACCCTGCTTATTTAACTTATATGCAGAGTACATCATGAGAAATGCTGGGCTGGAGGAAGCACAAGCTGGAATCAAGATTGCAGGGAGAAACATCAATAACCTCATATATGCAGATGACACCACACTTAAGGCAGAAATTGAAGAAGAACTAAAGAGCTGCTTGATGAAAGTAGAAGAGGAGAATGAAAAAGTTGGGTTAAAACTCAGCATTCAGAAAATTAAGATCAAGGCATCTGGTCCCATCACTTCATGGCAAATAGATGGGGAAACAATGGAAACAGTGACAGACTTTATTTGGGGAGGCTCCAAAGTCACTGCAGATAGTTACTGCAGCCATGAAATGAAAAGACACTTGCTCTTTGGAAGAAAAGCTATGACCAACCTAGATAGCGTATTAAAAAGCATACTTTACTTTGCCACAAAGGTCTGTCTAGTCAAAGCTATGGTTTTTCCAGTAGTCACGTTTAGATGTGAAAGTTGGACATCTCTGATCAGCTGAGCACCGAAGAATTGATGCTTTTGAACTGTGATGTTGGAGAAGACTCTTGAGAGGCCCTTGGACTACAAGGAGATCCAACCAGTCCATCCTAAAGGAAATCAGTCCTGAATATTCATTAGGAGGACTGAAGCTGAAGCTGAAATTCCAATACTTTGGCCACCTGATGCAAAGAACTGACTCATTGGAAAACACCCTGATGCTGAGAAAGATTGAAGGCACGAGAAGGGAACAACAGAGGATGAGATGGTTGGATGGCATCACTGACTCCATGGACATGAGTTTGAGCAAGCTCCAGGAGTTGGTGATGGACAGGGAGGCCTGGCATGCTGCAGTCCATGGGAGTCCCAAAGTGTCAGACACAACTGAGCGACTGAAC